AGAAGAAGAAGAAGAAGAAGAAGAAGAAGACGCGACCGCTGAAACAACAAGAGTATTTGTCTGACGTTTTGGATTCTGTTGAGAACCCTTAATCATAGGTAACCGTAGAATATTGTGATACATGCACAGATTGCGCAGTGCTTAAAGTTCTTAGTAGTCACGCAACCACATGCGCACTATAATTATCAGCTACCGTAACCACCGCTGGGGGGGGTGGCGTAATTGGTATAGTGATAGCTTGACAATCCACCTCCGAGTCTTTAATTGGCGCAATTTCGTCCTCCGTGTTGTTGCTGGGCCCACCCCCTTCCCACGTGACTGTTTCTCCTACTCAGACAATGCCTTAATACGGAGTATGGGAATGCCAAATTGTTGCACTAGTTGATTGACTGTGAGCCGCAGGTCGAGCGGTTGTCACCTCTTGCGAGGATTTTGTTCTCGTTAAACTTCAAAATATGGCCGGATCCTGCCGAGTGAGATGCAACCTGGGAGTTCGGGTCTTTCTTCCTCATCGCTGCTGCGTGCTTAATCATTGGCGGTCGGAGGAGTCTCCCGGTTTATCCGACCCTAATCATCCTAATCTGTGCATGTATCACGCTATTTTACGCTTACTTATGATTAAGGATTCACGACAGAATCTGAAACGCCAGGCAAATAAAACTTCATGTGTCAGCGATAGCATCTTCTACTTCTGAACTGCTTCCTGGAACTCGCATATTAGCTTCTATTGGCAGCTGATAGTTTGTTCATGCATACAAGGTACGATCAGCTTCCTATTCCACGTGCAACAGTCCTCAAGTAGGAGAGGCCTCAAACTATTTGTGTCAGCTTAAGCCTTAGTAAGCACTTTGTGTTCGAGCTATTCTTACGGCCGATAATAAGATTGGGCACAGCTGCTGCTGTGGAAAAATGGCCACATACATCTACGGAGGTAGCAATGTACTCGGACAGAGTCTGCACAGGGTGACCCCCTGCTTCTAACTCACCCAGTCATTTAGGAGGCGCAGAAAAGAGTAAAGACAAACAGTAGGAGGTACATAGATTGGTTACTTTTGGCTTATTAGCTATCATCAATCAGTCGGTCAGTCAGCCAACATCAGCTTTGAATGCTTTAGGATTAGAAGCCGCGTTCTTTGGTTATTGGGCCAACTTTCACCGTCTTGTCGGTGGGTCAATAGCTAGGGCGTTGGACTAAATAACACTTGACAGTCAAAGGACGTGGGATCGATACTCGGGTGTTGCAAACCTGGGTTTGGGTAAGGCTGCCTGGTAGCGGATAACGAGTCAGAAATTTCCATCGGACACATGCCGATCGCGTTGCAGAACAAACTAGTCCCGTTGTGCCATGGGGCTCAATTTTAGAGCCCCGCCAGTAGCCGCTCGGTGGCTATTATAAGGTAAACAGAAAGCCAGTACCAAAATATACAGGGAAAAGTGGAATGAGTGTTTCTGGCTCAGTAGACGTCATTAGTTGGCCATTACCGACCCCAGAAGTTGTGATAGCTGAGGCTAAAACCCGAACATATTGATAACAGGTGCAAGGCCCTAAGCCTTGAGGCATGGGCTCTTCGTCCTTTAGGTTGTAATCGGGTTGTGCTGGTGTCGCTAATGCCTTCCTACCTATAAGATAGCAGCGCAGCTCGAGACTGAGCCCCAAGGCATAAAGCAACCAGCGTGTTCCGTACTGCGATCAGTGAGCGCCCTACTGCCAATACTAACGTCAACACATATTAAATCAAGGCGAAATCAGATCACCACGAGCGTCCCCAAAGATGACGACTTCCGTCCCTGCGAAGAGGATTCTCGTCTGAACACAATATCGGAAAGCCCTATAGACACTAGGACTGGCTCAGATATTAAAAAGGACTCAGATCCATCCAAGTCTCATGCGATTTAACTGTTTACACCTTCGATTGCAGTTTTTCTCTCTCTCTCTTTTCGGATAGTAGAACTACTTCAACGGATTCCTGACCTGTAGCAGTTATAGCAGGAAACCTGCCAGGCTTTATAGCATTCAAAACAATCAAACCGGCAATTGAGCAAGAATACTTCCAATGAATATCACTTTATTTACAGTCTCGGGGGAGGGGAGATCGAGGGAACAACACAACATAGGAGGGAGCAATAATAGTAATACTGACTTCCCGGTCGGTCCTGGCGTTGAAAGCGAACGCGTGAGAGGGGCTCGACATTAGCATCGTCGCTACAAGGAACTTCGACCAAAAAAATCGCATGAGTCAACGTCCAGTCAAATGAAGCTATTACACGTTCAAACAAGAAACTTTAAAGAACGCGTTAAAATCCCTCCGCCTTCATGAGGGATCTTCGTCACCCTTTGCGCCTTCGATAGAGTAACCTGATTTTCCACGCCAGACATTAAGGGGATGCTAGTTGGTGAAAACTAAGCATAGAAGGCCTGCCTGAATCCGAGACGATGACATTCGACTGCTGGAACGCCGCTGAAACGTGCCAGGGCTTTAATGCAGATGGTGATCACTCATCGCTTCCCCAAACACTGTATATATTAAGCCAATGACGTCATAGTTGTTAACAAGACACCGACCGCACACAATGTGGACCTTACAAGTGAGCTAAATGGATTGTACGATGTTGATCCTTGTCCCAGCGACATTAGGTTATACACCTGTACTACGAGACCAGTGTGGCCTCGTCTGGAAAAGAAGACGATATCCAGATACGGTCAGTGAGCAGACCCAGAGATTTTTAGACCTGGTTTTTTACTGCGGTTACGCTTTATTGCTCTTGACGGATAATACTTAGAACCCACGTGGATTTACTGATAGTCTAAATGTTACCCCTAATAACAATTCGTACGCAAATCGAACACGAACTTACTTGTTACTTGTACTTGTTACGGCTGTGACCATGCCTGATCTAGCCGGCCTCAATG